TTATGTTTGTAAGCGTGATGCTATATGAGAAGTGGTCTTTGTTTAATATAAAGTAGCTAGACCCTGACAGAGCAAAAGATGCAGAGGGACGTGTTTGTGTAACTGGGTTAAAAAGTTTGGACTTCAGGGACCATGCATGACAGGTACGCAACCCTCACTTTTATGTCATACATTGGCAGCTAATAGCCACTTTTGTGCATTCCCAACTTTTGTGCATTCTATTGTAGGTGAACGATTCTCCTGCTCTAGACATTCATTTCTATGATTAAAGTAGCTTGATCCGAGCTGATTTGGTTGAGTTACGGTCGAACAAGGATTAATCAGCTGAGACATTCGCACGTATGCTGATGTATGGATTGATGTAATCTCCCTTTGACCGTAGCTCAGCCAAATCAGCTCGGATCAACCTACTTTAATCATGGAAATGAATGTCTAGAGCAGGGGCATCGTTCCCATGCAATGGATCTCGCAACAATGATGATTGGATAAAAGTGGCCGTTAGCTGGCAATACATGCCTGTTCCTAGATGATCCATAAAGTAATTATACATTGACCCTTTCATTCATGCAAATGTAGCTGTGTTACACAACACGACCCTCTGCATCTTTTGCTCTGTCAGGGTCTAGCAACTTTACATTAAACAAAGACCACTTCTCATATAGCATCACGCTTACAAACATAAAGGTGCCTGTATCTCCAAACTTTACAATGAAACGTGGGGTTTTTATTAGAGCAATGGGCTCGGCTTGGCCAACAGCACCTTGTGTGAAAGGTTTACGTTCAATGTCGCAACTAGCCCAAAAAATATTTTTTGGGTCGTCGTCGTCGAAGAGGTTGACCCCTGGATCCAGTTTGGCTGGTGGCGACATTGCGAAATCTGGGATTGGCCACGATGGACTTCATGGTTTGGCACAAGATCGCTTTCACCCCGCCGAGCAACATGGTTCTATTAAAGACCCCTCGTTTCATTGTAAAGTTTAGAGATACAGCACCTTTATGTTTTACATATGCTGTAAGCGTGATGCTATATGAAAAGAGTTCTTTGTTCATTATAAAGTAGATAGCCGTAGCAGAGCAAAAGACGCAGAAGGATGTGATTGTGTCACAAACTCAGGGACAGGTGTTGAAGGGTCGATCCTATTGGTGGAGGGTGCATAACAGATATTTCCCCAATAGTAAGGCCCGCCTATGGTAGCCCATATGCTATCTTTTTCATGTTAACCATGGCATGGTCAATAAGCTAGAGATGATCAATGCATTTGAGAGTATTCGTGTGCAGGTATGTGAGGGGTATGGTATTGTCTATCTCCAGGTTTCGTACCCATAAAGGCTATACATACAAGATAGCGCATACTGAATGTTGTCATAGATAAGCATATGTATGTGCTCGTGCCATATTGTGTGGGAGCTCACTCTTTCTTAAACGTACTGATTTAAGCTTACTATGGAGTATGGACCAAGTTTCTGTAACAAAGACTATTGTTGGGTACCATTGCTATGGGTTTATTATCTTTGAGAATACAAGCTTCTATTTGAATCTATGTACAATCCTAAGAATTGCTACTGTCTATCGTCTATTATCAGCATACGAACAAGGGAGCCTTAATAAATGTAATGTGTGAAAGAACAAAAGCGTCTCGATACAATGATGTGGATGATCCAATATCACTTCCCGCCCTTCAATTCCTATCCTCCCTTTCATTCCAGAAACCAACCAAGCGGATCGCATAGAATCAGTGGGTGCCATTGTTGTGTCATTGTATCCTTGGTTGCTGCCATCATAAACATATTGATCCATGATTGCAAACCAGCTCCTGTGCTTGCCTTGGCTCCAATGTCCCAATATCATCCATGGTGGCAAATCGCCTTTCGTCTAGATGTAAGCCCTCTCATCCATGCCATCCATGCCATCATCAGCCTCAGCCGTATCCACGCGACATGATCCATCTTCCCTGCTGACGACGTGCCACGTAACCAAAATGACATTCCAGGATCACCTATCACTGTACTTGATTGCATCCATCCATCCATAACCATTGCAAGTCCAACATGTTGATAGAAATAATTCCTGTGATCGCTTCCTTTTTCATCTGGCTGTTGTTCAATCACTTATTGGTCATTTTCTATTGAGCTCAATCAAGTGAAGAATGCTTGTATTGTGGAGTGTAGTTGATGGTTGATATGGCATCATCCATAGGAATTCGTTTGTATTGAAGCAAGTTGCTGCAGTAAAAAAGCTGCCTCTATACAATGGCTATATGCTGTCCACGCGAAAACGGCTGTAAGAAAGGTTGCTGCAGGTAGCTTGAGACAATGGAGTAAAGGGCCTCGACTGCTGTTACATTTGGTGGTGGCAGAGAAGAGTGCAAGATCGTGTATTGTATAGTGTCAAGATTGTGAGCGCTGTTCGATGCAATGGCGCAAAGACATTGCTAATAGCAACTGCTGGAATGAATGCTGTTGCGTTTGATCGTGGTAGAAGGGTGTGCAAGAGAGGGCGTAGTGTCAAGAGACGCGTGTGTTGTAGTAGAGTGACAAGAAGACTGTGTACACGCCATGGACTTTCCATTTAGTCAAAGACAATCGGATCAAGACAAATGTAGGATCGACATGATGGGTTGAAGCAAAACAATCGTTGGCAGGTGGTAGCTGTATACTTGAATGGGGCAACAGTTGAGAATGGGAGGAAGAGGCAAGAAGTTGTGGAGTGGAAGTGGAAATTAAATAGGTCGGACACCACTTGTATAAATCCATGTACACTGTACATCAACCCTTGATTATGAGATTGCCCTTCGCGAACGTGAAACTTTCACACAAGGTGCTCGCAGGCACGTCCATCAACTTTGTTATCATAAAGACTCCACTCTTCACTATGAAAAGTATTGAATGGGAGGGTATAGATGTAGGAGAGATCAACAACGGATGGTAGATTAAATAGAGTGTGTAATGATGTTCATGAGCTGGTGTGTTCGCTGCCGTGGATATTGTTCCAGCGCAGCACATTATTGAAGTCATCTCTTGTTGTAAATATGAATGACGAAGGGTTGTAAGTTCCTGTATAGATGAATACTACCTATGAAATCATAATGTGAATGAGCAAACGTGCAAGCTTATTGTAAGATGATTACTCCGTAGATAGTCTCAAGCCATTCAACGAGGAATCAAAAGTTTACGTGCGAAACGAGTAACGTCGACCACTAGTTACATTTATTAAGGCTACATCGAGTACATGGGTTGGGGAATAAAGTAATAGGGTTAATGCAAGTACAGGCAAGCAAATGTAGCAATGCCAATGGTAAGCCATACACGTGACATCAACTTGGCGGATGATGTAGATGACACGGGCGAAGGTGATGCTGAAGATGCGTAAGAGCTCATGACATTGACATCCAAGAAACCAAATCCGGATAATCGAGGAGAGGTGGTAGCATTATCCCATGGCAATGAAACAAGCAGCAAATTGTTAGTGCGTTGTGGCGAATCACCCCAAATCCAGGTTGCTGTATTGCCATCTGAATCCAAAGAGATGTTGCTAGGTGGATTGGCAACGGGTGTAATATTGACTGTTGGCTCATACTCGAGTCTTGCATCCGAATAAGCACCAATGGATGCACCATAAGTCTCATTGGTCTTGATTTGACGAGCAACATCAATAGGTGTTGTAGTATTCACATCGAATACCACGGGTGTATCTTGGGATGTAATAAGCCATTGACCAATAGCCAAGCGTGCATTACCATTATCAGTGTTGATAGGATATCCAGCCAACGACAAGTTGTATTGCAACGAATTGGGTTGAATCGGCACACCTTCGGTCATATTGATTTGAAGATTGCTTGAACGCCATGTTAAATAAACATCGAAGGGTGATCCACCACCACCTTGTGCTCCACCGCGTGACATGTTACGTGCAACGGTTGTGATCTCGTAATACGTTTGACTATTGTTGGCAGGCATGCTTTGATTTTGTACTGATAAGGGTTGCCATGGTGCATTGGCAAGAGACGTTACTGCAAGCAATCTCTCGCCATCATCGTAAAAGCCGTTTTGGTTGGTATCTTCAAATTCGACAATGTGACCAAACGCAAGACGGAATGCAAAATCGGCTGGGTTAGCACTGGAATCTGATGTAGCGAAAAAGCCATGATCGGCCATGGGGTATGTATAACCCGTTGTCATATTGAATGTGTAGTAATAGTTGTCCTCATCGCTGGTAAACTCTGTGCCATTGAGAACAACATTGGATGTACCGGTTCCAGCAATATTCAATTCGGGTGCATAGTAGTTTCCATCATGGCTGTTGTAACGATGATAGGCCCACCAGTAACCACCAAAGAAGAATGCTGGCATCAGTCCCCAATAGACAATGCCAGGATTGTATGCTCCCACCCAGCCGCTACGTTGTCCACCTACACCATAACCTCCAGTATAAGTGGGTCGATAGTTGGTAAATCCACCTATAACATGTTCCGATTTAATGCCGATGAAAGGTATTAGCTTGTTGAAACCTTACTTCGTGTATTGGCAAATTGTGCTGGAGGTGGTGCATAGCTTGTATAGCCGCCATAACCTCCTTTAGTAAAACCTCTGCTTCCAGATGGGAATTGGTAACTTCCAGCATTTGATACGGATCCTGAACGTGGTGTAGTTGCACCCGAAGAGCCACCTAAAAGAGAAAAGTGAATAATCCAGGGGTGAAGGGATCGGTTTTGTTGCATTCTTCTTACCGGTTGTTGCTCCAGGACCCCTGCTACCAGCACCTATAGCAGTAATTGGTAAGTCAATTGGGAGTACGATATAATTAAAAGGCTATCAAACTTACCACCACCAGAGCCACCACTGCCTCCTCCTCTTGAGCCACCACCACTACTACCACCACCTCTTGCTCCACCACCACCACCGCCGCCGCCGCCACGGCCACCACCGCCGCCTTTACTGAAGGCGCCTATACAAACAAATGCAGGAAGCTATGAGTCATTTGGTATGGTACAAAAGACAAGACCTACATGTGATTAAAAGAGAGAGTAAAAGGTATAGCTTAAAAATATGCATTCTATGGCTTATGAAAGAAAAGGGAAAAGCGGCGAATGGCGAGAAGAAAGAGAGAGCAGAAAGGACTTTTATCCACCAACAGAATTTGGGCTGCTGAGCTTGTAACACCCCACATCCAACAGCGCGCAGCATGTCGATGACGCTTAGGTTGCCAAAATCGGCACAATAAAAAGCACCCGCCACAACTACATCGCATCGTCATGCTCAGCATAACAAACATTCGAGAACTTCATCGACATTCACAAGCACAAATCCTATCAAGGTAACCATACTTTGCGCAGCAATGATGTGTATATCAACAAGATCTTATTTAATGACCCCAACGATAAAATCCTATTCTACCTACAAATCCCAGTAGTAGGTTAGCAGTAGTGGATATCAACAAAGAAGGGTAGCATCTACCAGCATTACATTATCTTGGATGGGCACGGGGATGCGTGCTTCCTAAGCAAATGTCAGCAACAAAGAATGTCAGCACGGTAAAACTTGTCTCCATGCTCTTGTGTCCCCTTAACTTGTTCCCCGACCAAACCGGCGCTTGTGCCTTGAACCTTGAACACGATGAGCAACTTTCCTTCGGGGTGGTTCTTTATTCAATCGCGATGCTCTCACAAAATGGTTCTCGATGTGGCATGGGATTCGCTCAAGGTACTCCCTTTTGGTTGTGTATCGATAAGCGTGGGTTTGCTGAATGGACATTGTACTTTCAAAGGCGAATGCCAAGATTATCGTATGGCCGAGGAAAAAGCAGGACTATGATAACCAGCTTTGGATGTATGATCATGGATACTTGATAAACAAGAACTCGGGTCTTGGTAAGTAGACATACTTTAAGGGGGGGGTGGAAAAACGCGTGTGTATGCAAAATGCTGACTCTGCACATGTACGACTTTACTCTTTGCAGTGCTCGATGTGGCAGGCGGTACGACATTGGGGATTATAAAGGGGAGTCATTCATCAATGCAAGCCAAACAAACCATTCCTTGCTTTCCTTAGGTATCCTTGAGACCGACAAACAAATGATCCAATATCGTCGAAAGATGCTCGAAGATGCGCACAATCAACGTTGGTATTATCGTGAGGATGGTTTCATCTACCCTCAAGTCGATCCTAATTTGGTTCTTGATATTCGCGTGAGTGGAGGATCATCATCCAATGGAAAGACATTGCATATCTCACATCTAATGTTAGGGGAATTGGACCAAGCCTGGAACAGTCGTACTTCTTTACGAGCGAAAATACAGCGACAATGAGAATCAGCTATGGGATCTTATTCCAGATAACAACGACGATGAATCATCAGCATCGATATTATTACGAGAAGAGGAGGATGGTGACGATGATTACTCCTTCAGCACTTCCAGCTATGCACTCTAGAATGTTTCATCTCATGCTCGCCACAGCCCAAGTATCCTCTTTATCTTCCAACATGATGCATTTTCTTCATTTCGATTCATCTCCCATATTTGTCACACACACACACACACACTCAACACACACAGCTTCTTTTGAATAAATCGTTGTGAGCAGCGTGATTTTCGCTCGTGTGCGCTATTTTTTACGTGTAACCGACATGCTGGCCAGATCAATGAGCTCATTTTGCTGTTTGCTCGCCACTGCCAAGTCTTTGGGACTGGGTAAAATGATAGCGATTTTATATCTACGATTCTACTACAGTGAACAAAAGATCACAATAAAAGAGAGGCGTGTGGAAAAGGCCGATGAATTGTTCTCAACCTTGCTTTTTTCTCTTACTGATTCATCATCAACATGGCCCTACACAAGGAAGATGTCATGTTCGAAAGTAACAAGGTCGACCTTGATCAAGAGAGCGGGATCGAAGATGCCAAAGAGAGGACCATGTACAACTCTATTCAAGATACAAATCCAAAGGATGTTCTTATCAATACGGATGCGCCATCTCGACCGGTAAACATCATCATCTCTATTTACGATGCATCCATTTTGCCAACATGTGTTGTTTTATTCCCCCAATCAGGTATTCAGCAAGCTAAAAATCCTCTTCTTGGCTTACCAATCCATTGGTGTGATTTACGGCGATCTTGGTACGTGCATGTTTGTGTTTTTTCATCATACAAGCGCCACTCATCAACAAGGAATGATTGTAGGCACATCACCCTTGTATACATTCTCGGGCACGTTTACATCTACACCCGATCGAGAAGATGTCCTTGGAGCATTATCCATGATCATTTGGACCCTCACTCTCGTTGTCTGTGTCAAGTATTGTGGATTTGTCTTATCTGCTGATGACAATGGTGAAGGTGGCACATTTGCCCTTTATTCACTTCTTTCACGTTATGTAAGTGCTTTTACCCTTACGTGCATGGTACATTACATGTCTAATGTCGCCATTTTACATAGGCCAATATCACTTGGAACAATCCCAACGCTGTAAGCAGAGCCGGCTTCAACCGCTACCCAACCGGGGACATCAAGAATGTGAATCGTAGTGTGCGTACATGGATTGAAGACTCGATCTTTTTGCGCCATTTGATCAATTTGCTAGCCATCGTTGGTGTGTGTATGGTGATTGCTGATGGTATCTTGACGCCAGCTCAAACAGGTATGTGCCTTTTATTGCGACCAAACTGAAAACTAACATCCTTTTTTTTATCGATGCAGTGCTTGGTGCTGTTCAAGGATTACGTATTCAAGCACCGGGTATCACCGATGCCATGCGTACGGGTATCACTGAAGTGATCCTTATCTTCATTTTCCTTGTGCAGCCTTTTGGTACCACCAAGATTGCCGTCTCGTTTGCACCCATCGTTTCCATTTGGCTACTTTTGAATCTCGCATGTGGTATTTACAATTGCATTTATTATGATGCTACCGTATTTCAAGCATTCTCCCCCTATTGGATTTACCGCTGGTTCGCAAAGCATGGCGCTGATGGCTGGAAAATGATGGGCGGTACACTTTTAAGCATCACGGGTGTGGAAGCGCTTTATGCTGATTTGGGCCACTTTGATCCCACCGCTGTTCGAATTTCATGGCTCCTCTTTGCATATCCTGTAAGTCATCATTATCCTTTTTACGTCTTTAATGCATCCAATGACTCATGGCTTTCAAGTGTATTTTGATGGCATACATTGGGCAATCTGCCTACTTGGTTATGGATACTACTGGTGAAGCATGGTCCAATTCGTTTTACGCCAGCGTCCCTCCACAGGTATATAGCACAAGTAGATTCATCTTTAATCGTGCCTATGACTCATGCATGTTCATTGTATTATTATGTAGGCGTTTTGGTTTGCCTTTATCATGGGATTGCTAGCTGCTATTGTGGCTTCACAAGCAATGATTTCAGCATGCTTTTCTATCCTTAGCCAAGCAATGACATTGTCATGTTTTCCTCAACTCAAAGTGGTCCATACGTCTCGACATTATCAAGGCCAAGTGTATATTCCAATGGCCAACTATCTGCTAATGATTGGCACGGTGGCTGTAGCTGGCGGGTTCCAGAACACGACATCCTTAGGCAACGCCTATGGCGCCTGCGTGATTTCCACTGCCTTTGTCACAACCCTACTCATGACACTGCTTTCGATCATTGTGTGGCGGTGGAACGTTGTTTTTGCGCTTGTCTTTTTGGTCTTTTTTGGTATCATTGATGGTGCTTATCTCACGTCGGCGTTACGTAAGGTGCCTGATGGAGCCTGGTTTACAGTGGTGCTTGGCGTAGTGCTTGCAATGGTGATGGGCATATGGCGATACGGCTCACTTTGCCAATGGGACTTTGAAGATATCCTCAAGAAAAATTTACGCAAGGCACGCCTGGTGGAAGAGACCAACAAACCATTGGACACGTTATCTACCGAATCTTTTGTGCAAAAAAGTGATTTGCTGATGGTTGTCTTTGATCCAGCAGGCTTTGATCTTCCATCCGCTTTTGAGCACATGCATAGTACGCTCAAAGTGGACCCCTCAGTCGTCATCTTTTGTCATGTGCGCCGCGTCAATACGGCTATGGTGCAACCTGAAGAGCGATTCATTGTTTTCCGCGAGCCAACGCGACCTCTGATGTATCGTGTAATTCTTCGACAAGGATACAAAGACTTGCTACCAGAAACAGAAGAAGAGCTTGGTATATTGTTATCCGGCCATATCATCAACTTGGTGGAAAGCTTGGATGAAGCTGGCGCTATTGCCAATGCTCGTGATAATCAAATCACTTATCTCAGCAGTACCTCCCATATCGTTGCTAAACCCGGAAGCTTTTTCCTCAAGCGTATCTTTATTGAGTTATATGCATGGCTCAAGCGTAATACTATGGAGAATCAACAAGCCTTGTATAGTGTCCCAATGAACAAGTCCGTCCTTATTGGCATGCAATGTGATTTATAATAACTGTATTGATACATCTCAACCACAATCCATTTGCTCTATTGCTACATACTCTTTCCCCTGAGCTATCCTTTTAATAATGTTCAATTAAAGCAATGTTGTATAGCTAGCTGACTGCTCTTTTTACGTTGGTATCGATTCATGATGGCATGGGGTGCTTTCTAGTACATAGTGATTGTGGGGGGCTGAGGAGAAAAACAAATGATCAAGATGGGAGATCAGGGTTGAGATCCAGGATCCAAAAGTTGTCTTGTGCCTCTTCCGTTGCTGGCTTGTTACCCGATGCACCATCAGCGGCTCCTGCTGATCCCCTCCTTTCCTCATCTTCCGAGCTTGCCATAGACAAGTGTTCGACTATGGACATCCAATGTCAATCAATGTATACCTTTTGAATCGCCCATTCCCAAATGCATATTTGTATACTTTACCTGTTTCATCGGTGATGTTGGGTAATACGTGCGTTCCTGCATACTGTCGGTATAATAAACCTCTTCGCATTCGATCCTCATCAGGATATGGCTTTTCAAAGTCGACCTTGAAATCATTGCTCATTTGATCAAACCCGGGTGGTGCTGAGGTATACTTGGATAGCTTGGATGCATAGGATAATATGTCACTGAAATCCACATTGGCTTGTTCCATCGCATTAACCCCATTGTTCATTGATACATGACATCCTTTTCTCACTTACTTTTATCAGCAAACTGTATCGACTTTTGTTCCTTCGATGCTTGTGTCAATTCTTTATCCAATGTCTCACGGGCTTCGTTGAGTCGTTCCACAAGTGAAAGTAGTGCCGCTTGGTGCTGTTGGATCTCGTCCTGTACTGCAATGATGCGCTGTTGGCGTGCCTGATGTTGTTCAACTAGGTGAAAGCAAATAAATAGAGTGTCAATGGAGTGGATAAATGGAATGAATAAAAGACGTACTTTCTTCTAATGCCGATTGAAGGCGTGCGTCGACGTCTGTAATGCGTTTGACGAGTTGATCGGGTGCCTGTTGTAAAGGATCGGTTGTGGTTGATGTGTTCTCAGCAATAGCTGTGAGAGACTGGAAGAATTGGCGTGTCAATTGAGAGTATTCAGTTAGCAAGCTATCGACCCGATCGCGTAAGGAAGTTTCCATTGTGAGTGTAAAAGTGAGAGAGGAAGTGCTGGTTAAAGACGCTGAAATTCATGCCCAGCGATGCGCTGGTCACGGTGCACTATACCGGATTTTCATCATGCACTATTGACATTAAGCTTTTGTACATTGAAGGATGTCTAGTAATGATAGAAGATGTTAATGTTGTTGTATATTCTATCATACAAGCTTCCCAATACAGTGGTATACTCTGGTTACAATGATCGTTGGCTAATAAGCGTTGTTGATGAGGAGAATGGGCTTTATTATCATCAGTAGTGAAGAAACGACAAAGAATCAGGGGTCATTGTTGCATGAACCATAAACCAAAGAAGGGAGGTTGATCTATAGCACGCGCCCTACGTATGTAGACAATCAAATGCTTGTCATTGATATCACTTTTTGTTAACTATCATAGTCGCCTGACCTAGAAGATAAGGTGAGGTAGGAGGAGGTATTTTTCCAGTTCTTTATAACGAAAGGATCCATACACGACACAATGAGGATAATAACAATGTTGTTAGTATGGAAGGTCAGGATGTGATGATGATGACGACATTTGTAAAACGTCGTGTCAGAAGGTTATGCAGCGAAATCATCCAACCAGAATGAGAGGAATCTTGTGTTGCATCCGGTCACGATCCCGCTTACCGGTGGTTGCACCACATCCTGCATCTCAACTCCTCTCTCTCGCTCTCTCACCACTCTCTCACTCCCATTTTCTCTCTCACTCACTCACTCTCTCACGCACACACAACACACGCACCACACCACGTTTCATCGGTGGCTCTGTTTCCAAGAAGCTTGCCATTCCAAGATTGACCACATAGCATTGCAATCTACTCTTTACGCTTACACACAACCACTACTCTTTATTTGAAACTGCAACTGGTAATATCCTTGGGATCGATCGCGTTTCACGCGCATGGGTATTGATGAGCAAGTCCATACTATAGAACCATGTCAGTGTACAACCATCGAGCCATGGTGTCCAATCCTTCGAACCGCATTATTGAAATGCTGGACGCCATCCGAGTGGAGTATGATCAGCTTGGGCAAGAAGCTTATATGAGCAAGTCGCAGAGGGATGAATTTGAACACAAAAGTAAGTTGCATTGTTGGGGGGAGGTGTATGGTTTATGGTGGGTGATAGACTTGGTTTATATCTCAATGATCAAGTATCTCGTTGTTAGTGAATGCTCAAGTACAAGAAATGAATAACTTTCGACAAAGCCTTCATGAATTGGAAAGATCACAGCAACGTTTAAAAGAGCAGTAAGTATAGCATTTACTTTTGATAACAAAAAAGACTCATATCGTTCGTATGTGCTACAGCTATGAGGAGGAAATTGCAAGATTACGACAACAATTGGAGCAAGCACAAGGACGTGGTGGCAATGGCAATGTACCAACAGCATCAACGCCAACACACAGGTCACAAGCGCCACACACACCAACCACTGCATCCATGCATCAATCAACAGAATCACCTGTGCCACCACCACCTAATCTTGGGCCATCATCCTCTAATTACTTTGGAGACATTATGAGCACATCCAGTGGTAGTGGTAGTGCTCCAACTACTGCTGCTGTTGCTACCAGTCAACCACCACCACCACCCCATGAACAACAACAACAACAGTATTCAGGCTATCCACCGTATCATCATCAACAACAACATCCTCCTCCTCCTCCCACATCTATGGGGTACACCAATGGATCTTCGCCTCGCATCTCAGCTCCGCCACACTCATCACATGTACCACAAGGTATGGATCGATCGATATTTACACATACATACATACATACATACATTATCTAATCCAACATGTTATTCATAGCCGCTATGTATGGTGGTCGTATGCCTACCTCACCAGCACCTGGACCTTATTCTCGTCAACAAGACCATCGTAAGTACTAGTCAAGTATGTTATGGGAAGCATGCTCATGGTTACGTGAATAGATTATGGCTATCCATCACAACAACGCGGTGTCCCCGGTACGCCAACATCATCTGAAGTACATGATCATCGCAACTCCATATCAACACCCAGTCGACTTTCATCTTCTACGAGTGTGCAAAAAATGGGTCCTGCTGCTCCTACTACCAATGCACCACCGGGAGCTCTTGCTGATATTGATCCTGAAAGTGTTCCAGCCAATATGAAAATTGAAGGCCATGATTGGTTTGCATTGTAAGTGTTTATAGTCTTGATTACCATGGCCTCATATACTCATCATGTATGCATATAGATTCAATCCCAAGGTGACTCGGGTGCTGAATGTTCGTTTGGTACATACGTTGGAGCAATCAAGCGTGGTTTGCTGTGTAAAGTTCAGTGCCGATGGAAGATACCTTGCAGCAGGATGTAATCGCATCACCTACATTTATGAAGTATCGTCAGCACGAGAAATTTGTACGCTCGAGGACACTACTGTACAGAGGGATGGTGATTTGTACATTCGCTCGGTATGCTTTAGCCCTGATGGCAATTACTTGGCTACTGGTGCCGAAGATAAACAAATTCGGGTAAGCGTCAACGACACCAAAAGAGGTCTTTTTGTTTTGCTAATAGGGGTATGGGAAATAGATTTGGGACATTCGAGCACAACGTGTACGCAACCGATTTACGGGTCATGAACAAGACATTTATTCATTGGACTTTAGCCGAGATGGACGTATTGTGGTGTCTGGTTCGGGTGATCGTACAGTGCGTATTTGGGACATGGTGGATGGATCATGCATGCATATCTTGACAATTCAAGACCAAGACCAAAAGGATCCAGGCGTGACCAGTGTTGCCGTTTCTCCCAACAGTCGATTGGTCGCTGCTGGTAGTCTCGATAAGATGGTGCGTGTGTGGGACATTCAAACAGGCAAACCACTTGAACGATTGGAAGGGCACAAGGATAGCGTTTATTCGGTAGCTTTCACCCCCGATGGTCACTACTTGGTCAGTGGTAGTTTGGATAAGACGTTAAAGTTATGGCAATTGGGCGTCAACGAAGGACGAGGAGGACATGATCGAGGCAACAAGGGACCATGCAAGATGACTTTTGCGGGACATAAGGACTTTGTGTTGTCTGTGGCATGTACAGCGGATGGTCGATGGATTGTATCTGGTTCCAAGGATCGTGGTGTTCAATTCTGGGATCCACAAACAGGTGAAACACAATTTATGCTTCAAGGCCACAAGAATTCAGGTAAGCAACAAAAGTTGTCAATGTATGCACTTTGTTGACATGCTATTTATCGATTTTAGTCATCTCAGTGGCTGTTAGTCCTGATGGACGTCCTGTGTTTGCTACTGGATCAGGAGATAACCGTGCCCGCATCTGGAGTTATGAACCTATTGCATGATCTTTTCACACACACACACACACCCCTTGCATTATACCGAGTCATTTCTTAGCAGTCAAAAAATCAACAACAATAATGAATGAATGAATGAATGGGATTTATATCAATTTCTTTGCTCTAGTAAATAAAAACTTGCGATCCTACTATGTAGCTATTGTGATTTGGTGAAAGGAGGCATCACTACCAGTAGTAGTAGGTAGTAAGCTGAATCGACTTGGACTCGCTCTTAACTCCGTAATTGACTTTGCTGCTACTGCTTGTTGCTCACATCCAAAAACCATGCCTCATGTCACACTGTAAGTGCGTTCTCTTTATTAAGCCAACTCTTCTTCTAACAACTCTTATCCAGATACCCATTAGGTAAAGCATAGCCATCTTTGACACTTTGTTGACCTCCATGGACTGACGATGAAACGCGCAATGACATAGAAAACTACACATTCGGTACCAAAGATGCACAACCGGAGGAGGACCCTTCAGTAGCAGCACGTTTAAAACGTCTTGAAAACGACTACGAAGCTCAAGGCATGCGACGAACGGTGGAAGCTGTATTGGTGGTGCATCAACATGACCATCCTCATGTGCTCATGCTTCAGATTGCCAACGCCTTTTTCAAGCTGTAAGTTGTTGTTGTGGGTGTGTGGGGATATTCAAGAACATGGATCATTGGATTGATTGGTATATGATGATGATAGTCCTGGCCATTATCTTCAACCCGGTGTCGATGAAAGAGAAGGACTCAAGCAAATATTGAATGAACGACTCGGTCCTGCAGATCCAGCAGAATGGGCCAAGGAACCCGAATGGGAGATTGGTGAATGTCTTTCTACATGGTGGCGACCCAATTTCGAGTCTTACATGGTAAGTAGGATGATTATCAGGAGGGAAATGGGATATTGATGATGATGGGTGATGATGATAGTATCCATACGTTCCTGCCCACGTCACAAAACCAAAGGAAAAGAAAATGCTGTTTCTTGTTCACATGCCGGCTCACAGTAAGTAGTATACATCATCGTTTGCTGCATTTGACTGACATAGGGACGTTATCCCACTTTATAGAAGTGTTGTCAGTGCCCAAAAACATGAAGTTACTTGCTGTCCCACTCTTTGAATTGTATGACAATGCCACAAGATATGGAGGACAATTGTCAGCCATACCTCATTTGTTGAGTCGTTATGATTTCGCATGCCAAAGTTAATATACAGCGAGTCTCTTTTTTTATGTACGACGTCGTATTGGATGCTTATTACATGAGAGGCGGTGGGAAGTTTGGAGGGAGGGGGAATATACACATAGGATTGAATGGGTGGAGTAAAAAGGTGATGTGAATCTATATAATATGTAAGGAAACAGGCAGAGGGTTAAATGATGCTTGCGCGGATAGTAAATGAGTTTAAAGGGCAATTGAATCGGTTTGTAGTCGTTTGAGTAGATCTTCAGCTGAAATCATGGTGGTATCAATCTTGAGTTCGTCTTTTGTTTCAGTGGGTGATATTGGCTGGTCACCATCACGTTGTTGTTGTAATCGTCGTTGTCGTCGTTCACGTCGTTGACGGTTCTCAGTCTCTCCGGAACGTAACTTGTCAAGCAAATTATCCATCATACAACGGTCATCTTTAACAAGGGTTCCTCCTGGACTTGCTGGTTCTATGTAAGGAATCCAAATACGATGAGTAAATAAGCTCTATCGTAGCAATACAAATGTATGTCATACCTTCTTCATCCAAGTCCAGCATTTGCTGTTGTTGCTTTCGTAAGGCTTGTAAGCGTGCTTTACGAGCTTCCTCTTCTCTCTTTCGTTTCTCCTCACGCTCCTTCTTTTTCATTTGCTTTTCCTCAGCAAGAGCAGCATCCTATTCCCGCCACCCCATGTCAGCAATTGTACATTGATAAGCAGAAGTGCAGCACACACTCACCTTCCAATTGACCACAAACTTTGAAAAGATGCTGAAAAAGTCATCAGGTCGCATCACCTTTGGATTTTCGCCATAAAATGACATGACGTCTTTCCATTTAGCGTCCATGTTGATATAAAGCGTTTCGAGCTCCTCAAATCGTTCTGTAGCAGCATTACGGTGCTTGGTCATCACTTGGAAAAATCGATCGTTGGGATCAAGCTCAGCATCCTGCCATTGAGTCTCCAATTCAGTATCAAGCTTCTTGAGGTGTTGTCGCATCTCTGTGTATTGCTCAACCATATCATTGACACTAGCCATGACTTTTTGGCACGTGAGTAAAATCATCTCCACAATCAAAAATAAGTAACTTACTGCGTGTGGCACTGTTTACGTTACGCAAATCATGCAGGAAGCGTTGCACGTGGGGGAATTGACGTCGTGTGATACCAACCAACACATGGAGCAATGACACCGATGATGTATTAGAAGCTTTGGTATCCGCCAGCTAATCACAAAATTAGTATCCATAGCAACCAATATGCATTTTGATTGTACCTTGTTGATACTGGACACACGCATGCCATACGCACCACCTTGGAAACTCATGCCATTCATATAATTACCAAGCATAAGGATAATCTAATCCATCAAACAGTTAACATCCAAACGGCGTTCCCTAGGCAACGTGTATATACTTACGCAAAGTAACTCCTTGAAGCTTTCCGAATGACGTAACGAATCCGACACTTCAACGACAACGGTCATGTTCTGATAGAAGAGGTTATTCATGTTGGAAACGAAAAGAGATTGGGTATGCCTTACCTTGATCAGTTGGTCGTACTTCTCCCAGAATTGCATACGGAAAAGCATAAATTGAAGCCTTGATTCGTAACGATACATTTTCATCATCTGCGGGGTGATATGGATTAGGATCATGGATAGGCAACGTTGCAGTGTATGCGTATATACCTCGATTGTGAATTGCTCGGGAATGTCAAGCTTGGCTTTTTCTTCATCCGATGCTTCCATATACTTCTCCATGGTGCGTAAATCATCGTCTTTGGTGGGTGCATATAGGATCAAATTACTCAAGAATGTCTCTGTGCATAGCTCATCATCCACTGCAAGGATCCTTTCACGCACTTGAGCAAATGAGCTGTATTGTTTCACCTTGGGAAGAACAGCGATATCTAAAGCAGCCATAAAGTAAGCGAAATGGATCATGCTATACGTGGTATTGAGAGAGGCACTTACTAAGATTGCGCGATTTTTCTTTTGACAAGAATTTGACAGCATCACGACGTTCCTCCATTTTAGCCTTGAGCTTGCGTTCAAAGAGTGTATTGACTTTGGCAGGGAAAGTGGATTCAAGCTTTTCAAATTCGCCCGTTCGATGCAATACTTCTTCAAATTCCTTTTCATTGATGCCATCCATGGTCCATACGGTGTTCTCAACCTTGTGTCCCTCCAACTTCTGCCATTGGAAGTTTTTGAGTTTGACAGCTGGATAATGTCCCAATTCCTTTCGTTTTGGTGCCCCAGGTACAGGTGGGATTTCTGTTCAAATGTGGGTATCAGTGGGATTGTTTCATGAATCCAATTGAGGATCTTTACAAACCTTGTTGACCATCCTTAGATTTTGCTGGTGAAGTTCCTGGTGGCGGAGGAGGAGGAGGTGGCGGTGGTGGAGGACCAGTGCTACCAGGTGGTGGAGGTGGTGGAGCTAACATATGCATGTTAGTGTGACATGAACAATAATGGCATGCATTTCTTATTCCTTACGTGGAGGTGGAGGAGGTGGAGGCGGGGGTGCTGGTGTTGAAGCATTAGGTTCTGATGAAAAACAAGGTCCTGTTTTAGTATCGTCATTCATTGATAAGGTTGATTCACGCTTACGAGTAGGTGGTGGAGGCGGCGGCGGTGGAGGTGGTGGAGGTGGTGGTGCACCATTTGCATTACCTAATAATCGACTCCTTTGATTAGACAATGTTTAAAGTGATTGTAGTACCGATAACATACCATCATTTGCTGAAGGAGATGTTGTATTGCCATTAGGGGATGGTGGTCCTGGTGCCGAAGGACGAGCTATTGATCCATTAGCCTTAAGTCCAGATACAGATACAATGGTTTCTTCTTACCTGGTATAGGGCTAGATGGTTCTGATGAAGGGTTCGTTTCAATAGAAGGCACTAAAAATATAGCGCATTAGTCGGATTATATACCATGGTTGTTTTTAGAAATACAAGCTTACCATCAGCACCCACAAAGCCGTTACGTTTGTAGCCTCCTGGTCGCTTATCAGAATCTTTGCGTTGTACCATGTTGGGTATAGTAAAGCCATTGGCACCAACGTCTGTGGGCTTCAGGTTGCGTGTTGTCACCACTTCGGCATTCTTTTGTTTGGCAATCGTTGATTTAGCTATCGAGTTGTGTGATCAATTCGAATAACTTACCTCTGATTTGTCGTTAAAGGTGATATACTTGCGTCGAGCCATCTTCCATTCATTGCCGAGCACAAGACCTGGTACATTGGGTTCTTCTTCTCTCTCTGTGATGGCATCCACCTCTCTCAACCTTTCTTGGAGCATGGCAATGGTGCTTCTCGATGTCTTTAGCAGCTCTCGCAATGAAGCATTCTCATTCTTGATACCCATCAATGCTATCCATCCATTCATATGAGTGTTTCAATGCTCCAAGGGTATTAGCATATAAAGATTACCTCTTGAATCATCTTCATTTCCTGGAATAGATCGTGTGATGGTTCCATTCCTTCGCACTTGTTGTAGTTGATATTCAAGCTCATTCTTCTCTGAAGTGACTTTGAGAAATTGTTCACGATGGTATGCTGATTCTTCTTCTAGTTTGTGCAATCGGTCCTGGTTACTGAATTGTTGAATAAGGGTGCCGACTGAAATGCCGTAAAGTGAGCTGAAATCTTTGCCAGAGACTCCACCACGTCGATCCACCACGATTTGACCCACAAGCTCGCTGATCATGTGATAGTATTGCGTTCTAGTAAATAAGGCTCGGGTGAGTATATATGGTAAGATATGGGATGGGGTGGATGGGGTGGATGTTGGGTTGACTTACTTGGTATCGGGATCGCCCTTGATCAGGAGTAAATTCCGTAAGAGCGTGAGCAAAAACTCGAAAGCACGTGGAGCATCAGCGATGCTTTCCAATATCAGATCAAATAATTCGGTCGGTTGCGAAATATCGGAATAGATCGACATTTCATCCCCAAATGCTTCATCCAAATCGTTCTCGGCGGCAATGTTGTAACTGTCGATCTGGATGTTGAGCCAATGATAATCGAGTGCTGCAAGTTTGGGCATGATACGTGATTGCAGACCAGCTGCATTGAGTTGATTTCGAAGATGAATACGTTGATGTACATCGTCAAGTGGCATTGTCGATAAAGCATTGACAAGGATCATGTTGGATAACTAACATCACCAATGTATATCAGCCATCAAGCGATATTCCTTGCAATCATGCAAAGCGTACGTACCGCATACTCCATAAGATGATTATCCGCCGTATTGAACATGCCCATTCGCTTGAAATCATCTGTAGCGCCAACCATAGAACCCATCTTTCCTCGTCCATCAATGGTGCGTTCAAAGCCCTTAAGCCATGAATCAAACAAGCCGAAATCATGCCGTGTATGTTGTAATAATTCCAATCCGCGTAATACATGCTCATGGCCCTGGCGATGTTGACAATAGCACAAGAACACCAACAAGTCGCATACGAGTTTTCGGGTCATCCAATGAGGGGATATCAACGAAAAGACCACCGTATGAATAAACTCTGGGTTAAGCATGATTTCTCGTACACCAAACTATATTGATTGATTGATGAGCATTCTTTGTATATCCACCTACCCCCTTGAATCCATTAGCAGCTTATTACCTTGGTATTGGCAAGTGCCTTGATAGACTTTACAATCTCAATTTCCACATCCAATGCTTTGTCTTTCCTGTAAGAAGGATGCATGAGTCTTTTCCACAATCATACTTTTGTCCCGGATCAGCAACACCATCACCATCAGCTTACTTCTCCTGCATACGATTGAGGAACGCCAAATTTTGTGCCAAGACATGAAGACCTTTTAGTTTGATAAATCGAGCCACCCAACTAAATCATGTGTAAGCATTAAACCCATGCATGGATATACTTTTTAAAACTTACTCGATAGGACGTGTACGTAAGCTCACTTCAAGATTGGCTGCAACAGCGGGAGTTACAGCTCGTAGACTAGGCTCCATGAATTTTCTGATAAAGTATTCGGGTGAATTCCTGTCACCAGCTGGTAAATGATCCACGGTGGTTGATATTGCTGCTGGTATCGTTGTTGTTGTTGTTGATGCTGTTGTTGCTGCAAGACCAAGGGATGAACGAGTACTGTTACTACCGCTGCTGCCACTGCTGCTGGTTGTGCTACTACGATTAGTCGCCCGCATGGTGTTTGTGCTACTGGATGGGGTGACGACAATCGGATGAGCTGTTCGAGCACCTTTGAGATCTTTTGTTGCTGCATTTTCAGATGAATCGTATAATGATGTGGATGAAGCGAGTATTTCTGCTTGTCGATCTTGATTCACCATGAGCCATTTCTTGTTGATATCCCAGTTACGCATGTTCCGGCGAACTTGCTCATCATGTATCCCTCGTCGGTCCTAAGGTCGGATTGCCACGTGAGCATTTAGTGTACCGTGCGCATATATATAGACACACACACCCACACCACTCGTCACCATACTTACAAGCATTTGGTTGAACATGAGATCAAGTTTCTTCTCGGCTGGTAAACTGTCAATGTTGCGTGGAGGTGGCACTTTGGGGGTGGCTGAATCAAACGAGGATCGTCCTCCTGGTGGTCGCGTGGATAGCCATGACGACGACACATCAATGGCTCCTTTTGCTTCTACATGAGTGTCGATACATGTATATAAATAAAATGAGAGTTCAAGTATTGTAATGGTGGTCTTACGAGCTTCAGGTTGACGTGTGCTGGTGCTTTTGGAAGGCTTTGACTTTTTCCTGCCAAGCAGGTCAAAAAAGTCGCTCATGGACAATAAAGAAAATAAAGCAAAGAGAGGAAGAGAGAGAGAGGAAAGAAAAAAAGGAAAGGGGGTCGGCTCACTCACTTAATCCATTCACACTCTTTTTGCCTAAGCAATGATGGGGGGAGGGGGAGGGTG